CACCTATGTATACCTTATTTCCCAAGGCGGGATCATGTCATAATTGCAGACTTAAAGGCACGGTACGGGATGAGGCATTTTCACCTGCTCCATCCCGTTTAGTAGTAGGCAGGCGGACAAGTACCGAACCTCTCGAAATGTCAGTTTTTCTCGAAGCTATCCACAGCTTTTATACTAAGTCAGAAGAATTCTTTAGGAGTCATTGTTTTTGTTTACTTCACTTATTTGTTTTACTTATCCCAGTATTTGCAAAATAGTTATCAAATGAATTCATTGAAAGCCGATTTGTTAGGACTGATCTGCCTGTAGACTAGATTTAAATAGTTTTGCGGTACTGAAAGCCGCTCAGAGAAACAGATGACGACCGCTGACAGTTAAGTATATGAGAACGCATCGCAACCGCGCGCATGCGCACCGCGTATATCCTAACTCCGCCTTGTTCCTTTCTCGGATATGTTCTAAATTTTCTCCATTCGTTCTTTGAGAATTTTCTCCCGAAGCTGTTTGAGGTAGAGGCTGGTTGGCGAGAGAGCTTTTGGAGGTTCCTTCGGCGATCTCTTGGACCCTGAAAATACCATGTTAGCTAAAAGGTCTTCGGAGGAAAAACTGCCAAAAAACTTACATGTCGTCTTTCTCGGTTGATGGCTTCTCCCCCTGCGCCGTTGAAGAATTTATTCTCAAGGACCGTCTCTCTTGACGATGAGGTACTGCTCTCGCTTGCCGACTCTTCTTCTGTGGACGTGGCGGTGGACTCGTCTGCCTCTTCAGATTCTTCTGATTCCTCACTGCTCTCAGATGCTGTTTCAGAGGTCGTTGAAGATTCGGACGAGACTTCCGCCTTCTCGGACTGTGTGGCTACTTCACGGGTTGCTTTAGAGGGCACCTTCGGCTTCGGAGGTTCCGCCTTTTTGGGAAGAACCTTGCCTTCCTTTAGCCATTCGACACTTCAAAATGAACGCCCTTTTACGTGCAATCTCTTGCTTCACAAAATCCGCATCAAATCGCTCCACTAGTGCTGTTCGTTCGCCGATCATTCGGTCGAGACTCGCAGTTTCTGTAGGCGAGGCACAAGATTCTTTCCCCAGGGTCCCATTCAGAGGCATCTCCGTCTTTCTTGCCTCGTCAGGAGTTGCCCGCGTGGGCTCAGTGGTCGGCACTGACTGAGGTTGAAATGGCTGCACAGGATGGTGCAAATACTGTGAAACAACCGCAGCTACCGTATCTTCGAGTTCGGAGACCGACAGCAAATGAAGCTCCGTGTTCGAGGCATGTCGTTCGAAGTGACTCGGATGTACCTATAAAATTCAGAGGATTAAGTTTATAAAGAGAAAAACATGAGGGCGCTGTCGCAAGATACGGGAGCATCCTCTAGGGCTAAAGCTAGGAGGCGGAACTTGAGAGAAAATGTGCCGTGTACTGATTCCCTCCTTCCTCGCACAAATATCAGTCCCGTTTTTAACGAAAATCAGATGTTTTACGTGGTTCCAAATGCAGTATCACTACAGTGTCTCGTACTTGGAACAGCGAAGCGAGTTAACTATGTGTAAACCGATCGTTTGGGTTACGCCGCGCGTTTGACAGCCATTAAGGACCATGAGAGCAGTTGAATAGTTTGCCTGTGAACTATATGGGTCGGACAATGTTCAAGGCGATGACTTTACTTTTTGGTGGGCTCGATTGGAGGGGGCCGCCCTGCACTGCACAGAGTTTGATCCACGAACCGTTCAGGTGATAGCAACATCTTTTCACTTTCCACTCTCGGCCTCAAGTTCAGAAGCTGCCAAAGAAGTTGTAAGTAATACGGTAGTCGGCGCGCTCTTTTGTTGTGACGAATGACTGCAGCGTCTCTATGGCGAAACTTCCCCAGTGCAAAGGAGTAGGTGTTAAGCAACCATTGTTGACTACGCCATGCGCTCTACTTCTTTAGCGAAAAAAAAATGAGTAAGAGGTCTGCACATGTTTTGTCGGCTGCGCTCACTGTGCTGGTGGCAATCAATCTGGAAGAGTTGAATTTCCTCGACGGTTTGGAGTCTACTCGGCTCCCATGTGGTTGTCTAGGAAAAAGTCACGGCGTGACGCTGTTCTCATGTGCGCGCTGAATGTGTATGGGCTGCCTTGCGACGCGTTAGCGGGCGATATTGCGCGGTGAATTCTTGCACAGCCTTTCCGATACTGATCATGATAACTAAAGCCACAACTCAGCAGAGGTCGAGTTGAGCGCTCCTTCGGTATGTATAGAGCCCCTAGAAGACAATCACAAATGTGGCGTTCCCGTGCACGGAAACCAACCGACAAGAGCGCTTGGGCCTTGCAAAGTAAGCTGCCCAAGCTGCAGACTTTTTTTTCTTATCAGGCTGTTGTCTGGCGCTCTCTCATCTGTAGCGCTCTCTCGCCTCATACTCTCCTCTCCGCGCTTAGTCTCTCATTCCCTTAGCACAGCCGATTAGGAAGGTGAGTGAGCCCTCAACCTGAGCGTTTTCGACGGATTCTTTTCCTTTTTCTTACTGCCGGCCCACTTCGCACCGATACATTCATTCATTGTGGCAAGACGCATTGACATGAATTATCTTTGTTTCTTTTTCAGTCAGCCAACCTTGTGAAAGTACCTTGTTGGCAAAGAGCATGTTCATCATGGGAGATTATGAGATATGAAGAGTTATTCACTAAAACTAGTTTAGTACAGATTACTAGCGCATAGCGCAGACTGAGGTGAACCTTCTCAACATTGCTTCTCGCGAGCTTAAAGGCACGGGTCGGGATCGAATTGGCTTGTAGTTTTGTTGGGAAATAAGACAAGGGTGCAATGAGGAACATTAGTGAGGAGAAAAAGCAAAAAGCACCATGAAAACACTGAAATTTCCCTTGTGAGGCCGGCCGGTATGACGGAGAGACACAGCGCTGCGAGGAGAGGGAAACGCGAGAGAGTACGTCGTACGCGAGAGGCGCAGACGCACGTATACCCGATTACCAAAGATGGTAGCACAAAAGGCAAGGCCTTTGCGCCGTTGCCTCGCACTTCTGTGTCACAGCAGCGTCGCGGTTCCTGGGCTTGTGGACCTATCTTTCTCACTCTGGAGGGGAATACAGCTCGACACCTGATCCAGACTCGTGGCTTAATCTAAAAGTTTGACCCAAAACAAACCGGAATGTCTCTCAAACATCTCAAAGAGCGGCACGGAATGCGCGCCTTTTTTCTTGGAATTTTGTGCAAAACGTAAAGGATCTCACCTGTGTTCTGAACAGTTCGAGTTTCAGTGCGTTCAGTTTGTGTTTCAGTTTGCCGAAAAGTGATTTCATACTCTTGTGTGGGAAGATGGTAGTACTTGGTAATTTTGATGGCCAGTGTAATAGCCAGCACTTGTGTACCATTTGTTGTCGAATAGAGGACCGATAGCCCACGTGAAGAAAGGACATCCTGAAGCAGATAGGGAATCATTCAATTGCACATTGGGAGACACAATTATACATTAGGCTATGAATTTTAGGATAGTACAATAGAAATTAGGATCTAATAAAGGATCAGCGCTTTAGGGATTTGGATAGGCACTTGAAGGATGCGCCATGCATTCTGCAATGGTTCAAGTTGTGATGGGGACTGGCTAGTCAGGGCGGGATTCAATCTCACTCGAGCACGAGGTGAGCA